TATGTACGTATGTATGTATGCATGTATGTATGTATGTATGTATGTATGCATAAATATATATATATATATATATACATATATATATATATATATACATATGGACAAATGTGTTTGTATATGTATATAGAGAGAGAGACATGTGTATATAAATGTATATATATATATATCGACGTATGTATACATAAATATATGTATTTCATGAAGCATATGTCAAATATCATATATCACATGTGGTATTAAAACTATATACACGACATATCATCTATACATATATACATATACATATATACATATATATATATATATATGTACATATATATATATATACACGTACATACATACCTACATACATACATACATACATACATACATACATACATACATACATACATACACACATACATACACTCATGCATGCATGCATACATAGATACGTGTATTCATACATACATGTAGACATATCTGTGTTTACGTATACACATATATACATACAGGCATGTACACATATATACATATATACATGCATGCATATACAATCCGAAGACAAGGACCTTGAGATCCTTCGGGCCCATGTTGACTTGCGATGATGCCAAGGAACCCATCCCCGGAGATGAGGTCACCCTGATAAAGCCAAGCCCTGCCCAGAGTATTCTCTGCCTCCTAAACCCTAAACCCTAAACCGCCTCTGCGCCCGCTGGCAGATACAAGTCTGGCACTCCACCCTGGTCGTGAAGTCCCATCGCCTCCATGGCCTCGGGTGCGCTGTTCTGAGTGACAGCGACTGTCACGAGAAGTACAAAACCCGCTCTTGGTACAGGTTTGAGGATCGTTATGACTACTGCCAATACAACTGTTTCCATTCCATGCCACCATTACTTAACATACGTACTAGTATGCTGATCATAATGCCGCTGGTAGTACTACCACCATCCTTCATACTCCCCATAAACCTGGTCGGCGGCTGGCCGAAGTCTGGTCCCGAGGGACAAATGTCGTCTTCAGGGACATACTTAGAAGTCTGGTCGACAACACGCGGTCACAGCTCTCAAGTCGCTGGTCGAGTGTGCCGCTGGGGGACTTGAGCTGTGTCGGATCCCTCAGCTACTTCAGCCTTCAACGAAGTCAAAAGCCAAGCTCCCAACACCTTGACGACGAGCATCTTCAACCATCCTGCTGTGGCTGGGTCGTGTACTGTGGTGGATGCTTTGGATAACGGTAAATACGATCTAGACTAAGGGGTCCTGAAACTATCATGGCACTGGTTGGAATAAAAGTCAAAAGAATGAAAGAATGGTAGCATTGTTTCTGCTGCTCAGCAAACAATCATGAACGAAGACTATGAGGTTACTAGAAGCAAAATCCAAAGGAGGAGGGCAACAGCCGTAAGCATCTTCTGGGCTGGTTTGGTGAGCGCACAACGTCACAAAAGGTTCCTGAAAATGAAACTTCTCGTGCAGTATACCAAATGCGTAATGGGGCCCAGACTTCACAACCTCCACACGGTTGGAAGCGCACTCCAATGCGCGAGATTCACGATCCGCCTGGGCAGGGATCCGTTCCACATCCTGTGTTTTCTGCGACAATCGCAGTCAGGATGACAGGCAAAAAGTGCGTGCAAGACTGATGATGACACCCGAAAGACGACAATAGTAACGATAGGACTAGCATGGACTAGCAACCGTAAGCACAGGTTAAGGTCAACTCACTAGAACAGTTAAGCTTCAACTAACACAAACATGAAAATGATACCCTGCTCATGATAACTCTCACAAAAATGCCAGATGTAGCAGTAATAGAAGTTTCTTGTCCAATGACGGCAATCGCCGTTGACCAAGAAGAGCAGAGAGAGCAGCATCAAAAGTACTAGTACCAAGTGCAAGTAGCAACAGCAGTAGTCCTCGTGGTCGTAGTAGTAGTCGCAGTGGTTGGTGGCCATAGTAGTAGTAGTAGTAGTAGTAGTAGTAGTAGTAGCAGCAGCAGCAGCAGCAGCAGTAGCAGTAGCAGTAGCAGTAGTAGTAGTAGTCGTAGTAGCTGTAGTAGTAGCAGTAGTCGTAGTAAAAGTAGTAGTAGTAGTAGTAGTAGTAGTAGTACTAGTACGCGCATAGCCCGGGGTTTGCCCGAGAAACTTGTTG